CTATGCCACCGACGCAAGCACTATGATATCATTTTATGAGAGTATCGAAAATCGATGGTGATGTGGTGTGAAAATGCAAACAGGGATAATGTAACTTAAATAACAGATGTGGAGATACAAAAACTTAAAAAATCTCGTGCGATGGTATTAGTCACTAGCATCAGAATTTTGTCGATTACTGAAATTTTGAAAGGAAGGGAAAATCGAGATTGTGAATACAACTTACTGTATGAAGAAGCATAATAGATTCGTCTGTCCTAACCCTATTCAGCGGGATTCTTTTGCACAAAAGAAAATGGTATGGATGAAGGACAAGTGAAACAACTTCAGCAGAATATTCTCCTAGAGAGTATGTATGTTCATATTCGAATTCTGCTGAAACAGATTTTGTTTATGCATACTGAATACTAACTATTTTTATTGGCTTATTTTCAATCCGTCGATGTGGTGATTGACTGTATTGTTTAAATACTTACTGTTGTTTGTCAATATTTATTATGTGAATTGCAAATTATTCTGCCAAATACAAACCCCTAAATTCATCCCTCTCTATGTTGTTGGTTGATTTCTTGTAATTTGGTCATTGTGAAACACTACTATTACAAATAATTATTACAGTCAATGAGTATTTGTTTTAACTGCTTTGCCATTGATCAGATGTTAATTTGAATGACACAACAACTGAGTGAATCACAATGTTCGATTTTTATTCAAACTTTCATGCACTGTATAGGAATTAAGTCTAAGTTCCTAGGGGTTGTAGCTAGATGAACCATTTTTAGAGGTGTTATAAATTATAAACATTCCGTGGAGCAACTTCAGAAGTAAACGCTGCAGCTAAAAGAGTAGAATTATTATTATTTATTACTTTATTACTTTACATTCCCAGTGTAACATAGGACTACATGGTGGAAGTTTCAGTAGCAGTAGTTTTTGTTTTGATGGGGTGAGATTGCTAGCCTCATGTTAACCCTTTCCTCTCTGCCGACCTTACTACCGCCTTAGGGCGATTTAGGAGTGTGTCAGCCAGAGATCGAACTTTGGACCACATGCATGGTATGGAAAATCTCTAAAGCTGAACCACTGACTTTCCAAGGAGTAGAAACAGCTCCTAAATAGCTCTATCAGCAAATAGTTTGATTTAATCAATGCCCTCCAAGGACATGGTTAAACTTATCAGTTACAACCTGCCTGTATATGCCTACCGATGTGACAAACCCTCCTGTTGAGGCGATTGCCCACATGGGTCAAAGTTTATCTATTGAGTCCAACAGTTAAACGTCATGGTAATTGCTAATATGGCTGCTGGAAGTAGCCAAAAGAGCACTAGAACACCATATTCTATAGTAACAATGGCCTCAGACAGAGGAGACAATAATCCAGGGATATTAACCTCATTCCGCATACCTATTCTAAACACCCATATACATGTCCCTCGCTCTGATATAATGCTTACACTGCCACACTCCAGCAGTGAAACTGAACATACAAAACCAAGTGGTTACGATACCTCACCTGTACACATAGGAAGCCAGTGGGTCACACACAGCAAAGCTAGAATGAAACGCTCAAGGTGTTATAAGACCTTGAAGGCGTTTTCTGGAATAGGAGACGACTACCAGGCCTGCAGTGCTGTTGTCTCCAAAGGTGACTCAGCATTTGAATGCAATTTTTGCAAACGATGGCTTCACTGTCGTTGTGATAAAGGGTTACCAAAACAACATTATGAATTTGTGCGAAATAACCCGTGCCAGCGGTTCTAGCACATCTGTCCACTTTGTTGCCCTGGCACAGCCTTGCACAGCGTGCCCCTAGATAACAGAAACATCACGCCACATTTCTGTCTTCACATATTCCCATGCAGCTCTCCATCTGATAACATCACATCTCAAAAACTTGGTAAAAACTGTAAGAAGGATACTCCAGACCAAATAACTGGAAATATCACTGTTCATAAGCTGAAAACTCCCAAAGTTACACTCGGAACAGCAGGGAAAGACAGAATTACCAAAGCATCACTTGCATCCGCTAGCAAGCATTGCAACATAACAAAGACTAGTCAGATCCTGACGAAGTCTAAAGTTACCCACTCTAGGAAGTAAGAAAGGCAACCAAAGACGAAACCTAATTCTGAGGTCAGTCGATCGAACTCCACCTTCATGTTAAGTGTACCAGTGTGCAATGATATTTTGCTTGAACAAAGGGCTCCTTTTGATTGGGATTAGTGTTCTAATTTGTGCAACAAATTAAGACTGGATATCATTTCAGCTAAATTTTGCAGACCGTACAGGGATGTTCAGGCACCTCAAGGTAAGACATCTCCGTTATGGGTGGGGCTGGGCTCTGCCGAAGAGGCTGAAAGAATACTGTTACTGGCTCAAATATTAGCTATCGACTGGAGTTCCAACATAAGAATAAGGCATGATAAGCTGTGGGCTAGCAGGCGAATAGCGAAAGAGTCACCGAAACTGTGCCCTCTACTTCCATCGTCATACAAAGGTGTTCCAGAGCTGGAAACCGGCACTGCTTGTGGAAGACACACGCATAACGTACAGCAATGGAGATAAGTTTCATCTCAGATGGCCCTTGGTGTCTCGGAGACAATCCCAATTTTCCGGCTACCTCACCTCGCCGCTCTCACATTGATTAGCTCCTCAAGGCTACTAAGTATCAAATTCAACTCTGAGGAACAGTTGGCTCTAGTACTTCAGCGGTCGCACGAGACCGCGGACAAAATCGTAGGACATATCCGATGCTGCCAAAGCAGACCTTGAACCATAAGGAGGCAGCGAACCGAGGTCTCAATACGTTCCCAAACCTCAGTGACAATACAGTGATGCGATACTGAGAATGATAGTCAGTGCCACCCAAGTGGCCGACCTGAATTCAGGGGAAAAATGGCAACAAACTGGTTCCATCAGAATCGGCCAACTATTCTCAATATTGATAGCATAACGTCAACAACACGCTGAGGTTGTGAGACTCACTGTCAGCTGCCTATATAGCAATGTGAGAGGGGTGAGAGGAGAAGTGGGTGCACTCAGAAACTCACTCATATATGCACCTCAAAATAATAGTCCTGACTGAAACCTCGCTAACCCACCCGACGCTTACCGATAATGAAACCAGTATTACTTATATGGCTCTGGTCAAGCAGGACAGAAATAATAAGGGAGGGTGAAGTTTCTTCATTGTTTGACAAGCAACTTAATTGCGTACGTGCAACGGATCCAACACTTGCTGAAATCTTTGACTCTATTTGGTGCCATACCCAGCATTTCCTGGTTGGCATCTACCGATCACCCATCTGTGCGGCAGAGCACTGCCAGCTGCAGTGCAGCACCACCACAGCGATACGGGACTTGGGTTATGACCAAATCACCACGGCTGAAGATTTCAGTGTCTCATCCTCAAATCTCGGGTCGAGGTATGCCCAGTGAAAATTTGGTCGAAATCTACAAACAATTAGAAATACATGACTGACTGAGAATGTTGGAGACGACACTAGGCGGGGCCTTAATGGAAGGTCATCGAAACAAGATCACATTCCAACCAGCCGTCAACTACTTGTCAAAAATGTCCAGATTATGACCAACCTAGGAAGCAATGGCCACGAAGTCACAGGGTTTGTTCTTGTTCTCCGTGAGCGCTTACAGTGGGACACTACGCGGAGTGAAGATTTGGAGAGCAGTTAAGTGCTCGTAAGACTCGGCTGCTTGTGGACCTAAAGCTTCTGGAAGACTGGGAGACCAGCGGTCTGACTTTCAACCTAAAAAAGTGCAAAGTAGTGAAATTACTCACCTTCAGAATGCAAGTTACACTCCGTGCAACAGAAGCTTGTCCTGCATAACATCAGAGCAGGACTTAGATCTAGTTATAACAGAAAAATGGACACAGAGTGAATTTCATGAAGGTGTAGCAAGGTTATATTTGGCCATGCACATTACACATTGACAGTCGGTTAAACTCACTTCTGAGCTCTCCCTGAGGTTGTACAAAACATGCATCAGACCACACCTTGAAGTGCCGAGTATCACTGCACCCCACTACTCAAATGAGCTGTGAATCTTTTGGGAAGAGTCCAAAGATGGGAGATAAAAGGAGTGATGGGTCTCCGAAACAAACCACAAGATGAACGGTGATAGAAGTCAGGTTTTTTCACACTTAGCTGCCGTTGGTTTATAGAGAACTTGACTGCTGCCTATAAGATTGAAAATGACTAGAATCACCCAAGTAAAGGCATTCTGTCACTAAGTAAGTATGTGCTTCCTCGTGGCAATCAACGGAAGATGGATCACCAGAGGGCGAAGCTTGGCGTGCGCTTCTATCTCTTTTCACTGCGGGGTTACCGTCCGTAGGACTGGCAGATGCATCTACGGTGCCATCTGTGGACACCTTTAGGAGTTGCTGAACAATCATGCAGCCACACAAGGACTGCTTTCAAACGGCCTTTCCCTTTGAAATCTGATACACTAATAGTGGGTAGACATCTAAACTCATCATTTTGTACCTTTACTTTCTCTCTTGTCTTACTCTCCCAACTGTTCTAACTACGAAACTTACACTTATTATAATTATTATTGATTCTATGTGTATATAAAAATATACATCAACTTCAAATTTAATTAGCTGCCTGTTTTAGTCTGCACGGCCTGCACTAATTTTATCTTATATGATTATTATTTCTCTTCTGTTATCGATAACCGTAGGGGACTAACTGATGAAGGGATCAACTCTATTTACAGTAGCAAAATGGTATTAACTCACCGCATTCTATAATTAATCCTAGCACCAATACTTTGAGAGTCAACCAAAGCTATGATAGTCGGGAGGCGAGATGAACTACCCAGAAATTCATCAAAGACCAGGAACCTTTACCATACAAATTGGCTCATACTAGCTCGTAAAAAAGGTTTTGTATATATTTCGGAATGGAAAGCCAGAAAAGATTAACTAAATCTTCTGGAAAAATATTACCCATTGATTTTATAAAACTGTGAATGGTTTACTATAAAGATGTTTCGTCTTACTTCTCTTATGATCTGCGGTGAGCCTTTTATCTCCTATTCAATATTGAAACAAGGGAGATTTTTCGATTGTTGCGTTACGTCCAGTTTTACAAGCTATCGCGCGCACATTTGAAGTATGTAAGCGTTTCAGGCTTTTTAATGTTAAATGTTTTAGTTTGCGCTGATTTATAGAAGAACCTAAAGATCCGCACATACAGCATAGGGATGCTCATATGTATGATGTCGGTGACGAAACTATTGCAGCCCAAAACGATACAACCCAGTAAAGACCTCAACCGACCAGTCAGATGCGTTATAAGTTATTTGAAACAAGCGTCTACATACAAGTAATGCACTGTTGAAAAATTATCACGGGTGATTATATTCTTGTATATGTGCCAAGTAAACTTCCAAATTTATCACAAGAGTCCTCATAGTCAGGTTAAACCAATATCTGTAAGTGATTTCGTCGAAGTCATCAATCCATTCATTACCTAAATGTAGTTTCGTTTTGAGCCGCTATGGTTTAGAGTAACATTTCATTTTATATCCATGAAGTCGACAATTGAAAATTAGCACACTTTTCCTTCATCTCAGGCAAATAACTTCGACGATTATGCTGCCATGTTGTTAGAGTTTTATGAAAATATTTCATTCCAGTCAGATGCATGTGCACCTGGGGAATGTGGCCATAACTTGGGCTAAAAGGGTAATTTCATAGGCAAATCTTGGCCAAAAAGATTTAAAATGCTACATAATTTATTTACTTTACCCATGTTACAACTGAAAACAGACTATCATTTCCCACTTTGCCCAGTTTCGAACGCAAAACTGCAACGTTTTCACCCACATAACCCTGGTCCAAAGAAAATTCACCAACTGAGATAGGAAAGTTCTGAAAGCTTCTGACTGAAATCCACAAGTTTAACAGTCTGTCCTACTGAATCAGTAGCTGTGTCAACCGAACTATTTCTGTTAACAAATAGAAATCTTATAAGATTTCGTTTGTATAGTTGAGTTAATGCCTTCAAACAGTCAAAAACTGAGTTATTCTGAAGTTCTTTTAAAGGCTTTATATTTTTAAAAGGCGTCGTACGGTGATGCCACGTTTCGGTGTCTGCTTTTTATTGCTCGAATTTCAATCAAAGGGGGTATATTTTTGATGATGTTATGGTTTAGCGTGGCTCTCGGAAGTTCACTGTTCCTCATTAATGTTTTGAATAAAATATCACCAGACAAATGGAAGAGATCAGGTATATTTTTGTGTATTATCTGGATTGCAATTTAACGCACTTAATTAGCCAAACATTAGATTAAAAAGATACCGAATAAAATTAGAATGAAAGCATAAGGATGAATTCTGTTTGTGAGTTCAGATACTTAACAAACCTTATTGAATAGATAGTCCATAAATTCCTATGACTAACTATGTATATAGAGCCTTCACTGGAAGTGTTACGTCTTCACCCACTGGTTAATGAATTTTCTATTTATGCATGTTCGTTTCAACCACTTTCTTTACTGAAGTACACATGCGTCAGAAGTCGAGTTGCTGTTTATCTACATCATTATGATGGCTGAAATGTTGCAATGATGAATTTAGTTCATACGGGATGTAAGGTAGGCTTATCTCATTGTTTAATTAATTAAAGTATGCATACTTCCTAGTTTCAAAAAAATTTATCTTTAAAGTTACAATATTTGGGATTTCAATGCATCAGGCTAGGAGACTGCGGTATATTTTGCGAAAATTATACTTTAGGTAATATCTATGAAACCTTTGTGCATTGTAGAGCAAATCATTTAATAATAATAACAATAATAATATATTTGCTGTTATTCATACACAAAGACACATCACTGTGTAAACATTCATTGAAGTATAATTATAATTCATTCATTTCAGGTGTACATAGATTCTGTAGGAGGAAATTGGCCCAAAAACGCTTCCAAGATAACAAGAAAATACTGATATAATCAGCTAGTTTAAATGAAACAGAATTTGATTATGATTTCCCTTAGTATAAATGTATTGTTTATTCTTATTTGTAGATTGCAGTGGGCTCGTGAAACTCCATTTACTATGGAAACTCATCCCCAGTCATCTAGAAGAACCAAAATTGTTGTAAATGCGGATGATGGATTTTATTCAGATATTAGAGACCAGGGTATTGTATCCTGTCTTTCAGCCATCAACTGTGGGGTGTCAGATGTCTCTGTGTTAATGAATGGTGCTGTTGCAAGACATCTACTTTCGGTCTCGGGTTATCACCGCACACAATTATCTGCACTGTTTTCGTATCTTATGAAGAATGATCTCATTCCAGGTGATATTTTGAGGATTGATATTTTAAGTAGCTTCATTAGATGCACCAGATTACTGGGTAATAACAAGTATCTGTAGGCTTCCAGATGATTACATAAGTTCGATACAAGTCACACTTTGCCATGGCATCTGTTTCATTTTAAAGGTCGCCTAGTTTATATATGATATTTTTTATTTCAAGATGGAATAATGATAGTGGACTTAAGATGAAAAATGCCTGAAAAACCCTTCACAATTTCTCAATATTCAGTTTAAATCGTAATTACTGGGTTAGTAACCATTCTCTATAATTGTGATTGGCGTCTTGCTCCATCATAGTGTAGACTGATCTCATGAGAGCTAATACTTGCACTCCTTAATGAAAGTGAATCAATAAAAGTGGTCAAAAGTCCTTGTATTAGAGGATTTTTTTTAAGTATGATCATGGTTGATCATATCCTGGCGAATGCGTTGAACAGGGAGTCCAGAAACCGACCAGCCAAAATATATTATATGCTATGTTTAGAAGTCCAGTAGACTGACAACTAATCAGCCCTGTTGTTTTCAGTGCCGTTATCTTGTCCTATAGTTCTGAATGTTATTTTCGGTGAAGCTGAAGTAAGGTCTAGGGTGGAAAAATGCTCCTTACCTGGAGTTAAAGACATTTAAACAACAAAGCATTAAGGGAATTTCATCTTTTTGTTAAGGAACTTAAAAAGCGCTAATTCCTGTGTCGTATGAGGCCTAGGATTTTGTATAGAATGTTGTCAGGCTAAAGCTAACAGCCTTCACGCTTTCTTTCTTAATAATCCCTTTTGTAGTATGTTTCCCAGAACTAAATTTGATCAACCAAATGATATTATTTCTCATGTGCTTCATAATGATTTTCAATTTCGGATATGTCTGTTGTTGCCGAAATGGTCTGATAGCAAGGACACACTTAACACTGTTAATTAGTCTCTGTGCATTATTGCCGTTTACAATTTATAGGTTTACATTTTAATTTAACTGAAGGAAAACCCTTAACGAACAAAAGGTCTTTACAAAGCCTGCTTGACTATCGTGATTGCTTTCTGGGCAAGTATGGATTTAGAGAACGTTTATTGTCTTCTGCAGTGGATATGAATGAGGTTGGTCTTATGTATTTTTTATGTAATACATTTGTTTAGTCAAAGATGGTTGTCACTATTTATCACTGGTCTCGAAGCTTTAATAATGTCAATTGCTTAAAATACTTTTCCTCCAACTAAGTTACTTCTAAAGATAATTCCCTTTTTTCATGAGATAGGATTGTTTAATAAACCAAATGAAGTTTTTAAATCACTTCGTATGTGTTTCACCTGAATTTAAAACTGTTCACTAGTTTTGCACAGTCATCTATCAATTGAAATAGGCATATAACACTTACTAACTAAGGCGTAAATGAATTTTTCGACTTCAGTCATTTCGTCATACATAGAACGTGATTTAAGCAAATAAACATTTTTACAATTTACAATTACATAGCAGAATATTCGTCACAGACATTGTAAACAATGTTGATCAATAGAATCAAATAAGTGGAGAGTGAAATAACCGTTTGTCACACACGATTAGATAACATAATGGATTGTGAAACTAAGATTAAAATATGCAACTATATATCATAGTACGATATTGGTGATAAAGTTAGCAGTGCAAATACAATTAAAATAATATTTACCGTTAGTCGGCTTTACCAGGAGAGATGACTATTCTAGGTTAGAGTTGAAGCCCATAGGAAGGATAGGGATTGAACAAACTTTTTCTGACCACGAGGATTGGGTAGAAAATGTTTTATTTCCACTGACTCAGCTATGTTTTTCAGTCGAAGGTGTGCAAGCTTAAGGAAATGAGACAGCAGCTTGTATAGAATTGTAAGGACTGAATTTTTATCAGTCTTTCGCTCGACATCTACGAGGTGTAGCAATATGAAACTCCTGATTGGCTTTACGACTCGTTTACCTAACTACCTTGGACAATGCTGAAGAAGGCGACGGCAAGCTTAACGAGTCGTTCTACCTATGTAACTGTCTCCACAAGAAATGTTAAATTTATAAATGCATACTGATGTGGCTAGACTCGGTAGCTAATCCTTCACCTGCATTCGAATTATACAAAGAGTGATGAATTCTAAACATTATGTTGCCGGAAAGAATGTTTTAGCTACTATTCTTAGGAGTTTCGATGGCAGTAATTCTACTTACATTCTACTTAATTATATTTGATACTATTGATCCACATTGTTTGAAATGTCTATGACTAATATTTTGTGTAATTGTAAAGTCTGATATGAATTCATCATCGGAAATGTGAATTTGCCTAAATCGTGTTCATTAACTATCATTATGGGAATATTTAAATTACCTTGTTATTGATCTACTTAGCAAAAGACAAAACGTATGTTTGCATTGGATTTTCAGCTATTGGGTCTCTGGTTCAGCTCCTGCTCAAAATAAATCAGCCTCCGCAAATCAGTAGTATACTTAGCCCTCATGCAATATGTGTCGCTCATAACGTATCATATGAACGATCTTTTCCAGGTAACCAAGTTCTAACTAACTAGCTAACCTAAACTCTACTGCTTTTTGCAGAAACTTCAGATTTGAGGTTATTCTGTGCACCGCTGGTTCGTTTATTCAAAAACCATATGTATGTTAGTGACCTTAGCATTACTCCACGTTTATGGTTTGATGACTGATGTTTCCTGTGACCTATCAAACCTTGGTGGGTGGAATGGGTCTGCAATTCATGCAGGTGAAATACGCTGGATCACTACTAAGTAAATCGTCATTTTCATGAAAGATGAATGAGATAATTACAACTCACAATTTCACAAGTTAAAATGAGCTATTTCCTTCTATGGAAGTGATAGACTCAGATCTCTTAAGAGATTTCTGTAGCATGTTTCTGGAGCAATTAATAGGTTATGTTGATTGAATCTCACCATTCATAGAATAATGTTTGAAAACATTTCAATTATAAGCTTAGCCGACTGTGTGGCCCAGAAATACTTAACGTAGGAAATAATTATTGTGTAAAACACATGCAGTTCTTTTAGCTGTCATTTCAAGCTAAAAACTGAATTTGTTACGAAAAGGTGGTTAATTTCTACTGAGATAACTGAAAAGCGGGATATAAACTAGTGACTTCAGATTATTAAGAGTAGTGTGGTGAGAGCTATCTGCTAGCCAAAATTGTTAGACAGCAATTTACGTCAATGCTTACGTCCCAAATCTTGGTCATGAGAAAAAACAAACAAGAACAAAGTTTAACCTTGAGAAACGTAACAACCAATCACAGCAGACTTAGCGTGGGAGAATACGATTCGCAGATATATCATCGGACTGTCTCAGAAACGGCAACAAAGAGATGAAAGAATAACCTTTAGCAGGAAAACAACCAATCAGAAGACGCCGCTCCTCTGCTAATAATAACGAATAATAATACACATAAAAATCTATAAATATCTGTTGATTTTCCCAATAAACTATCTGTTGCCTGGCCCTTGTCTTGTGTCGTTATACTAGTAGTCGTAATCTCATTGTATTCGTCCTACACACAGGGTTCACATTATGTTTTGTTTTTAAAGTTCATTTTTGTCAAATAACTCCTATTTCTTTTTCTGTATCACTTATACAGTATATTAAAAATTTAGGTTGAATTAGAACTGGAATCACAGTTGCAAGCATTTAGACAACTTTTTGGTACAGTTCCCAGTCATTTGGACGGTCATCAGCATATTCATGTTTTACCAGGTGTGCAGAATTTAGTTTAATTGACTGATTTTCCTTTTTTTAAACTTTGACTTATGTGTATAGTACAGATATCCATCTTTTTTAAAATACCGTCAGTGTGCATGCAAAACAGGACTTCAAATATTTATCTTGATCAGTAATTCTTTTAAGTTTCTCAGGATTGGAATGAGAGAATATTTCTGATGATTTGTTGTTTTGGACTAGTGAATTACCTCACGCGCAAACCTAGTTGTTTTCTATTGGAAAATAATTAGATTGTATGTTATGCAGAAAAAGGAAAAGTGAAAGAAATACTACTCTTGCCTCTTTTAGAGGTTTGTTTTCTTGCTGAGAATTTCATAAGGACTTTTACTTATGAGGTAGTAGACTAGTCGTAGGATTGGAGGAATCATCTGATGTTTAATTCTCTTTGTATTAGTAGAGAGTCTGTCAGATACAGACCTATCTGCTGTCTAGTTCACCCACTTTCATCATCCGGTGTTTTGTGCTTGAATACTGTGTCACTTGATGCTAAACACCTCTTTCGTTCATGATAATACTACTTTTTTATGATAGCGAGTTTATGCCTTAATTAAATATGCATTAATCTTCTACGTGGAGAATTTGTTTATGAATGTATGCTTAAGTTTCCTGTAGACGAATTACATTAAATGTTTGCTTCATGCACCAGCTCGTGCTAAATATTAATTGGGTATTTAGTTTTAGTGAAGTATTATTGTTCGTTCAAACTCATCAAAGGATGCGTGCACTGTGAAGCAGTTTGCTCTGTCCTCCTTCATGGTTGTGAGACATGGCTACTAAAAGTGGAAGATCTGGAAAGGCTGTCTATCTTTGATGTTGGCGTTTTATCTCCAGTGTTAACTGGTGTAATATTAATATTTTTAAATTTTTATTTTATTATAGCTTGATTCCACACAGTATTATGGTACAAGTATGGAATTTTCAGTATGTGATATCGGTTACCCAAAATTAGCAGGCCAACCTTCGATATCAGATGTGCGTCGACCGGGAATCGAACCCCGGACCATTTGTATGGTCGGTGAGCGTCCTAACCACTGTGCCACCGACGGTGGTAGGTAAGGAAAGCAGGTCTATCGATGGAGTTGTGAAGTAACATGGATTGAGATGACCAGGACACGTGTCGCGCATGCCAAGAGAATGCTTTCCTCAATGAGAAGTGTTAGCTGATATAGGATTGAGTTAGGAAAGATTTGGGAGCAGTCAAATCAAAACCTCGTATCATTTCATGAAGTCTTCGATAGTTGGTTTTAGGCAGACACGCTGAGAAGTGCAGATCGCCTGATTTGGCTTTTAGGAACCAGTGGGTTGAGACTATTTTTGCTAATTTCTGCTCATTATAGTTCTTTCAAATGTCTTTTTCCTTTTCCTACCTTTTTGTGCTAAATGTAGTGTGGTGGCATAGCGGCTAGGACGCTCGCCGACCATGCACATGGTCCGGGGTTCGATCCCCGGCCGATGCATTCCTTTACCTCGCTAAGCCACAAATAATGCTGGTGAAGACGAAAGGTTGGGCATGAGGCTAGCAACCCTATCCTGTAAAATAAACACTGCTACAGAAACTTCAAGCCACTAGCTTGAGGCCCTATGTTCCACTGGGGAACGTGAAGGAAAAAAATTCTCGGACTTTTACACTTTTATCCAATGTTCTGTGTTGATCCTCAGTCATTTCTAAAAATGTGTGTTTTTACTGTATCGAAATTGTGAGAGAGCATGCTTTCCTGTTTAAACAATGTGGATAGCGCTCTCACTTTGGTAGCTAGGTTTGCAAAATTTCATCGGCATTTGCTCTTACAGCTTCAATTTTACTTTTTTCATAGTTGAGGTGGTCATCGTCGTCACTTAGCGTCCACTGACCTATAGAAATTGTGCTTCATTTTCTTCTCTTTATTTTTTATCAACTCAGGCTGTGTTAATACATTTTTATACAGTCTGTGAGCTGGTTTTTTGTGTAGGAATTTTGATGACAGTTAAGACATTAATTTCATTACTTCGTCATAACAGTAAGCGTCTGTCGACCACCACAATTTTGCGGTAGTTGATTTTTCAAAATTCATCTTTAGCTACTTATAATGTGTAAAGTAGCTTATCTTTTTGAATAAAAGTTTTGTTTTGTGCTGAGCTTCAGTACGGTGATGTTTTCTAGGTGGTGTATAAATTCTATATATCGTAGGCAATTTTCGTGCATTCTAAATACAGAGATTATACTTAAACAGTCCAGAGTGTTACTAGGCCCCTGCAGGACGAGTAACACATCCAGTAATGAATGCAGTAGGTGATCCACAGCCAAATGGTAAGTGGAAATTAGTATATTGCTGTACATTCATCCGGGCTAATTGGTGAAAATATATTGATTACGATGGACTCCGAGAATGATGAGGCGTAAAAATGCCGAGAGGCTTAGTTACATACACAGTCGAAGAAAGTGGAAAATATGAAAAGATCTCAGATTTTCTTATCGTAGATTTCTTTGTCCAGTTACGTAGTATTAGACAGTGAAGGCGAACTAATCAAATTAAGTTGGTTCAGACACGTATTATGTATGTTGAACTACCGAATTCTTCGATGATCTGTGCTGACTAACTTAGAGTTAGATTGAGAAATGGTTGGTTATGGTTGAATTTGTCTGCTTGGAACAACATGGGAAATGTAGGTTGCATGGCTAAGGATGTCTAGCACCGCAAGAGCCACATTTGCACTAAATTTTACCAGGGTCAATTATATTCATAAATTTTTTTCCACAGTATAGAATGTCCAATAATCTGATTAACAAATTTTTTATCAGACTAACGTAACTCATTTACATCTACTTGAGTCGGGCAGGATATCAGTTTAAGGAGACTAGTTTTTGACTTATTTCTGTATCAGTTATGATTATTTGTAACAGAAGGCCGTCACACCCCCTGACGGTTTATATCCATATTTAACCTGTTGAATTGCTTCATCTTTACAATAAACAATGAAGTACATTCTACTATGAAATTCACGTGCGAAGAGGAATCCCAAAATAGAATTAATTGCCTTCCTAGATGTCCTCCTTACAAGAAAACCAGATGGCATTATAAAGAGAAATTCGCATAGGACCAGCACATGGACAGGACAGTGTACACATATTCATTCCTCTCCAGTACAAAAGAAACTTAGTAGGGACCGTCAGCCACAGGGTTAGAACTATATACTCAGAAGAGTTAGTTGAAGATGAACTAAGGATTGTATGTGATACCTTGATTGAAAATAGTTATCCAGAAAAATTCATCAGGAAGCATATGACTAAGAAAGTTGAAAAGGACTATTCACTATCCGTGAACAAGAGGCCTTTATACATACGACTGCAATTCAAGGAGGATATACCTAGTGAATTACTTACTGACAAATTAAGAAAATCTATTCAAAGAATCTGTAATGCTGGAAAACTACAAGTCTTATTTTCTCCACGACCGATGGTGATTCCTCACTTGAAAGATGAAGTACCTAGACTAGCCACTTCTAATTGTATCTGGCAATTCAACTGCTCGTGTGGAGCGATTTGTGTTGGCCGCTGCTTTAGGAACTTGATTTTTTGTGCTCGCGGACACCTACCAGTGTGGTTAAATAAAGGTGTAGTGAGAAGTATCAACAGTTCTATATTAGAACACCTGATCCAAACTGACCACACAGCTCATATTGAAGAGTTCTTCTCCATTATCTATCGGGTACCAACCAAATTGCTAAAAACATCCAGGTAGCGCATACTCCAAACATCTGAGTCTATCGCGATTCGCTTTATTCATCCAGTGCCCTGTGTCCAGAAGAAGCAAGTTCAGCCACTACTACTGCCCTGACTGGCCTTCAGTAAAGACTATAAGTTCGTGAATTTGTATTATTATTTCCCCTAATTTGCCTTTATGATACTGAGTCTATTGTTATGTTGATCCTATCGAACTGTAATCCACTGATATTACTATTGATTCGATGTTATTTAAAAATTAATGTTGTTAATAACACTAATTCACTCACTATTCTGTATATATTTAACTGTAGAACCTGATGAAGAGCAGGTTATCGAAGAGAATATTCTCTGTTCAATAACCATTCTTTTGAAAAAATTCCGTAGGAGTCAAATTTTCTTGCGAATACACATTAAGTTGCTATTTTTCTGCTCTCTCTCTGTTGTTTACTTTACTTCACTTTAAAGTTTAACAGTTTACTCATGCATATTTGTTTGCATTTATTTTAGTATTTATTTGTCTACATCCTGGATAGCCTCATAAATATGATGGTATTTGAATCCAGACAGACATGTATAAATTAGGTTGTGCTATATATAAACTTTGAAAAATTAGAAATTTCCAGAAACATCTCATATCTCTTTGTCATTCAATTCCTCAATAGAATTATCATTTTAGTAATTTAGTAAGGTAATTATCGGTTTAATTGACACTTGTAACATTTCGCTAAATGTATTGAATTCATCAATACTTACTTGCTTACTTGGCTTAAGTTATTACCAGAATAGAACATGTCTGTCTGCTTATATGAACTCCAATAAAGTGTAATATACGCGCCTGGTATTTACTGTTACAAAAATATTGTTTGTGAGGTGCAGCATTACCAGAATATGCTTCATTTCAGTTTCTGATGCTTTTTGATTGAACACTAGTCAGTAACTAGTGTAATGTGTCTAGTCCTATCTTCGGTGCAGAACTGAATTATATCAGTCAAGCTTGCAATGTGGCCACCAAACTAGGTGGCTCGCCATTATGCTGCACTGTGAATTGTTGGTATTAGATGGTTGGAGGTAATCGGCCACAGGAAGCCTTGGACCTAGGACATTGCAAGCTTCACCGATATAATTCAGTTCTGCACCGGAGATAGGACTAGACACATTACACCAGTTACTGACTAATGTCCAATCAAAAATATCCAATACAGTCCTACAGGAGGTCAGTCGCGAGCCTGAATAGCTCAGTGGTAAAGTCTCTGACTGTAGCACTGGGTGACGCAAGTTTGAATCTCAGAAGGGACATGAGTTCCTTCTAGGTTGCTGATGAGTGCCAAATAGCACGAAACATAGGTCCAAGGTTTTCTGCCGATTGCCTCCAACCGTCTAATACCAACAATTATGATACTTTTTTCTAGATAAGTAGTATAATCTGTTTACACGTGTTTATTAGAAAAGTATAATTTTCAAATCCGAAATAAATTTAACTTCTTTTAGATATTGGATAATTGAACGGATTTGAAGGCATTCTTCAGAATGCTACGTTATTAAAGTCCTGCATAGGTCACAACGAACAAATAAATTTGTCATACGCCTGTTATTCATAAACTTTATGTTACTGACAAACAGGTTCTGTTTAATTAGGACCGCTAATAAGTGGAAAAGGAGGAAGATATCCCAATATTCGTTAATTGTAATTTCCCATATCTTTCATTTGCATTTTGAAAGATTTCCCTCTACTTTTCTTTCCTTCACGTTCCCCAGTGGAACATAAGGCTTCAAGCTAGTGGCTTGAAGTTTCTGTAGCAGTGTTTATTATTTTACAGGATTGGGTTGCTAGCCTCATGCCCAACCTTTCCTCTTCACCAGCATTATTTCTGGTTTAGCGAGGTAAAGGAGTGCGTCGGCCGGGGATCGAACCCCGGACCATGTGCATGGTCGTCGAGCGTCCTAACCGCTATCCCACCGACGCACCCTCTACTTACTGTGTAGATTTACCCGTTATCCTAAATCTAATTCGTAATTTACACAGTTTGAGGTGATTGTTTCACTAATGTTTCCTATAAAAAAACCTGGTTTCAATCAGCTTAGAGAGCTATTTCAATTCAAACCGGGTACGCCGCTGATGAGCTCTGTTTCGAACGAGCAAAATATCCGTCCAGTGTTTAGATCACTTCTATTTGGTTGACAAATACTGCTGCTTTTGATGTAATCCTTATACAACTACTTATCTCAATAAATCAGTAGTGTATAGTTTAATGCACTTATCATTATCCTGTTGCTTTTCGTTTTAATAGGTATCTAATTATGAACTGCCTCTTTTTTGTATACTTTAATTTTCTAAGGAATTGATGCGGTTGTGGCTAGAGTCCTTTCTCGAAATGGTGTCAAATGGATACGTGTCCCTGTTGAAAGAATTCCTGAAGTTTCTCCGCATTTAACTGAAAGTATGTTACATTATTTTTATAATCCATTTAGAAACTTTAATTATTCGTGTCTTGTACCTGGTTATCTAAGGAACTTACTTTTTATCAATAGTAGGTAGGACTTTAGGTTAAGTTATATATAAAAAATGAGTTCCCTACAACTTCTTAGAATTATTAGCTCCTGTCCGACGAATATTGAATATAATAACTAGCCTAAGATAATGCTTACGCAATGAGCGGGAAGACTGATGGGCGGAAAGTGTGTGTATGTGTGGTGGAAGCAGCAGCTACAATTAGCAATAAATGGAAGTTGTTCTAATACATCTCAGGAAACTGCATCAAGAAGTATGGTGTCAGCGGAACAGTCTTCGGAGCGGGTTAGAAAAGAGTGTCCCTCAAATGTTTATCAGTATCCTGAAATCCCTAAACAAGAATACCCCAGGCAGATCGTGGACACACAACCACTTGCTATCAGTATTTTCAGCCAAAAGCAGGATTAGACAGGGTTGTCCAATATGTTAATGTCTCTTTGATGAGATGACGCGACTCAGAATTACTAGGCATACTCATGTATGGCCTAAATTAGGAGCAATAGCTGGGGAACATGCTGAAAGTTTGACGTTATCGTTCTGAAAGATATACAAAGGAATGAACATTCCTTTGGATAATGTTGACAGATATGCTTACCTCTCTGTTCATTTTGCTGTTACCCAAATGTTCTATCTTCTCTTCTCCTCATATTGTGGTTTTATTGTTTTGTTTGATGCATCACTTGTTCTTCATATTATACTGAATTTGTGTTTTACATAAGTTAATTAATATTAAAATAAACAACGTGAAGTGATAATAAAATCAAATAAAGATATAAACAAAGAGTAAGTTTAAATAAATGTTCGAGTTAGCCCCATAATCCATTATCAATAGTCATTTATACCATACAAACTCGGGTGAAAATCACCTTAAACCATACAGTCTATACACACTTATGCATGTTAAGTTTCATAGAACTCCCTTCTTTCGACGAACACTATGATTTGTCGCATTTCTTTTGAATTTCATAACTGTCGACTACCTACCTTTATTTATATCTGTCAGATTTCACTCCCACTGTGTGTGTATGACTGTGACGTCAATCATAGGATTACGTAATAAACTTTCTATTTCTTTAACAAGTTGCATTAGGGATGTGTGGGACAAAAGGTGACGGAAATCAACTACTACTGCCATTTTTTATTATTTGATGTCACATGTCACACAGTTTACATGTATAAAGAAGGGATAAAATGATAGAAATTTAGTCAGGCAGTGAAGAAGAAGAAGAAAAAGGAGAAAAAAAGATTTGAAATATGTTAAGACTGCTTACGCAGTGTACACTGAACACATGACATTGCATGTTATTGCATGTTTAAATTGATAAGGTAGTGAAATAAAATTTATTCCCATAGAATCTGCTAAATTTTAAAATACACCTATAAAGTAGGAGTTTTCATGTAATTCATATAGTAAAATGTCAGTTGTATCGTTAGAAAGTCATAAAATTTTATTAAATATAAATTATTTCTACAGTATATATATATATATATGCGTCGGTGGCACAGTGGTTAGGACTCTTGCCGACCATGCACATGGTCTTAGGTTCGAGCCCCTGCCGGCGCACACCCGATATCTATGGTCGGCCTGCAAAATTTGGGCTACCGATATCCATGCTGAAAATGCCATACTTGTACTGAATATACGGTGTGGCATCAAGCTGTAACCAAAATAAAATAAAATAAAAAATATATATATATATACCGTTGTGATGTTAATATCAAAGATATTAAGAGTTCGTCTACTACATATGGCTGAAGCTGGTTATTGGGATCTACATTAAGAAACCTAACTTATGTATCCGAAAGAAATTGGTTCACACACTGTCTTTACCTTGGTCATCAAGGTTTTAATGACCCCCAATTTGTTGTAGAAATTTCCTCAATTTCGGTTGATATTTTATTTGCTATTGCATTTTAATGCTTATTACAACTTAAGCTTCTTTCTTGAACTGTAATTCTATTTATCTTACTTAACAAATCGATATTTTTTAAAGAGCACCAGTATTAATATATGTATAAAACGTGGGAACTGTAGTAGTAAGTAATTCCAAAGTAGTTTGTTAATTAGATATATTACACAGTGAAACAGTATCATTTACTGATGATTATTGCTCGAACACAATTTATTGTTCATAATCATACCAATTATATTCACACAACTTCGAAACTTGAGTTTTATAGTTTTCTTTGTTCTCTCCTATTTGGCGTATAAGTTGTAGGATTTTCCAGATGTCCACCTGGACAGGTGTTGAGTCATTCCTATTACACGTGTTTGCAGTTGATTTGATAAACAAAGCTTCTGTTATCAATCTCTCCCTATACCCTGTGACATTAGATTTTAAAACTGTCATCCTATCCCACCCTATTGTATAGTTGTATGTTATTGCGTGTAGAGAGTGCTATAATTGAACTATTCACCAGATTTCTTAAATTATTCGGGTCAACTAATCTAGATTTTGCTAGGTTTTCATGCTCCGCTAGTCTGACAGCACCTGTTCTACTACTTTGACCTATGTATTTGACCTGACAATCATTGCAGGTAGGGTATTAGATAAACTAATTTGTTTTGTTTTATTGGCTCCACAGAATCCTTTAACCAACAAGGCTTGTTTCTAATTGAGTTTGTGGGTAGTTTGAGTGCCAGTCACTTTTATTCCTGCATTGTTAATAATTTTCCTTAAGGTTTCCAAGGTTCACTCTTAGTATGGAATCACTATTGATGATTTAGATTCCTTATTGTTGGTGTTGTCATTATTTTGCGCATGTTTGACATGCATGTCGTCATAAATATTACTATTATTATTATCATGATCACTACTATCATTACTCATTTTATTTTTACATTTTCCTACATACTTTCTGACTAATTTATCAGGGTAATTATTAAGTTTCAAAGCTTCTCTTATATGCCTCACTTTCTGTCTTAGATTTTCCTTGATGCTACTTAGTTTTTGTGCTCTATTATTAAAACATTTCACCAATCCTACTTTCACTGACATCGGATGGGATGATCGGAAGTCAAAATATCTGCTTGAATGTGTGGGTTTCCTGTAAACACTAGTGTTTAAATAACCATCTTCTTTCCTTTTTACTCTACAATTTAACATTGGAAGCTCCCCAATATTGTTTATGATGATTATTCTAGAATATTCTGTGTATATAAACCTATATATATGCATAATTGTAAAGCCAGAAGAGGAAATTATCAAAAAGCATATTCTCCGCTCAATTTTTTCTAAATGTCTGAATGAATATTTTCCTTATATGAATGATATTTATCATAGAGATCGTAAATACATTCCGTGTGTACTTCTTGAGACAAAGTAATGGTTATTTTATAACAGACACTTTCTCCTACTATTATTAAATGGTTATTCAATCTATCCACACAAAAAAACAAAAACAAAATAATATTCTGTCTATTCGATGTTTATGAGGTCAACAATTCTAAAAAAACATATTTATGACTAGTAAAGAATGCTAAATAATAAACAGATATATCACTGTTGAACCTTCCAAATTAGTGCATCTCTTCAAGTATGTCACATACTTGAAACCAACACTCGAGAGTGAAGAGAAAAGCTATAGAAAGATAAAATGATAAACAGATAAATTTAAGAAAGAAAAATTACTGCAAATAATAATAATCTTTTCGAGTTTAAAAAAGTGGATGATTTTTATGGATAATGAATGTGGAAAAAACGAAAAAGTTGGCTGTCTTTCACCACAGATGTTTACATTCTGTCTCCCTTGTTAAATGGTATAATATGACGAGTAATATCAACGTCAAGCATAGAGTTCTAGGTAAGAAGGCGAATCGATCGATGAAGTTGTGAAGCTACATGGATTGAGATGGCTAGGACACGTGTAGCACATGCCAAACCATCGCCTTCCTCAACAGGCAGTGTTAGCTGACATAAGATCAGGTTGGAAAAGAGATAGTAGTGGTCAGACCAAAACATGCTTCATCAGTCAATGAAATCCATAACAATTAGTTTAAGCCATGTCCGAAGGTGTAGACTTCCTGGTTATAGTTCTCGGGATGGTAAAAACAGGTGATATGGCTCTAAATTGTTCTCATTAGCGCAGGTGCTTTGTGATCTTCTATACCCAATAAACCCTCATGTTTTTTTTCTATTTTAATATTCTTTCTCTTTTACATTTCTATATATTACATTCCGTTGGGATTTCTACTTCCTTTCTTTTCTCTAACTTTGTGCATTATATATTTTGTGGCAACTTGAACTGCTGCACTTCTGTGCAAAGTTCTATATCTAGCCTAAGTCAGTCATTTGTTTCACTAAAAGTAAACAGTAACTGATTTTTAAAAATTTGAATCTCATTTGGTCAGCCTACACCCGATTCAACGAAACTATCAGTATCAATATCAACACAGGCGGATACGATGATAAGAGAAACTCTCTTGACAATCAGCCACAGTCAATTTTATCAGAAAAAAAAAGTTTATTTTGTTCATTGTGAATTTTAGGAGGCCCTGTCATTTTAAAGTAAGAGCTGTAGATATCTAGAAGGACACTGGAAGTTTTATTAGTAAAACCATTGGTCTGATTGAACGTGATAACACAACATCCTACACTTCTCTACAAGACTCAGTACCATACTGACAGAACAGCGTCTAACGTTTTTCCAATTTAGTTGTGCTTTACTTAGTACAGCAGCTCTAGGTATATATTGTATATACTGTAGACCCTCATAGTTAACCTATGTCTCAACCACTTCAGTCAGTAACCGTTTATGAACATATCGATTAACCTGTCTTTATTCATAATTTCATTATTTCTCCATTGAAATGATAAATTTCCCAGTTTCTGAGTTGGAAATATTGATTTAAATGAATTGGATTTTATAAAATAACTTCCTTCACTAATACAACGTTTTTTGTTTTTTTATTGATACTCTTAGCTGAAGCGGATTTCTATAAAAATGTCTCTGATCAAGCAACAAAGGCAAGAGAAATATTTTCATCTTACAATTTAAAGTAGGTCTGTTGCATAAAGTTTACTCATCATTAATAACTTTTTGAGTGTTTTAATAAACTCTTGTCAAATTTTTTTTAGTGACTGTTACTGTCATCACGTATTTACAAATTAAACATTTGATGTTTGGTAACTTCATTTCACTTCAGTTAGAACATATCAGTTACGTGTCTTCATCGCTATGCTGATCGACGATTCAACTGACCTACTCAGTCATCATTATTATAATTGCACAGTGATTGTGTAGTTAGATTCTGCATTTTGGTGTTCACTTTTTTAATTGTTAGCATTATCTGAGGTGATGTACCTATTGATGCCTTGGAAACAACTAGGTTTTCGAAGTAGACTCCGCACGAACCAACATTGTTTGGAGAACTATTAAGCCGAAGAAGCAGTTAGAGATTGTTAAATCTGTTTTTTGATTACAGCTTGATTCCACACCGTATTTTTAGGTACAGGTATGGAATTTTCAGCATGTGATATCGGTAGCCCAAATTTTGCAGGCCGACCATAGATATCAGGTGTGCGTTGGAAGGGGATCGAACCCCGGACCATGTGCATGGTCGGCGAGAGTCCTAACCACTGTGCCACCGACAACAGTACGCGCTCATGACTCCACAAGAATCGGACGCTTAACCATCATTTTCCCAGATGAGCATTCAACCGATGTGTCAACTGAATGACCCATTATTCCCACTTTTTTCTACTGGAGATGCAGCAGCACCGTCATATACTGTCGTCGATGACACCTAACTTCTTGGATCATAAAAATACCACTTCTTAGTTACTGTCACTAGTGTTTACCGAATAATGAGCAGTATATTGATACTTAGATCTTAGAAGCAATGGGCCCCTGGATTAAACCGTTTGTCTAAACGTTGACATGTTTTCCTGGTAAACTGACGTCCTAGGCCTCAACCCTTTTTGACGCCATTGATGCGTGAAGTCGTAATTTCAAATTAAAACAACACATTTATTCAGAATTCTTTGGTTGCAATGGGTTTTTTTGGTGGGGGGATTTTGTCTCATGACAAAATTTGCTGTGAAACTGATGAAATCATTAAAAATCTAACTTTTAAATAACCAAGTTTCTTTGGAATATGAACTGCTACTCTAATTACAGTATGATAATATTTTGATACTTTCTAGGTTTTTCATAGAAAATATGAATTCAGCTTCTGCGTTAACCAAAACATGATAAGAAAGTCTTACAATGTCGCCAACTATACAATTAGCCGGAGTCAGCGTTATCATGTTTACTTTTTATCGAATCTTATCAGTCTTTTTCAAAATCACTCACTCAATGAACTCATTCGAAAAGTGTTGATAAAGTCTTTACTGCTAAGAGGAAATGGAGATAAAACCTCATAATTTTTGATAGCTTAGCTAGGAGAAATCTAGTGATATCAACCAGATTTGAAATGTTAAGGTTTATTTAGCCTTAATAATCTCCTAAATATTTGGAGACTTATCAGCTCAATTTCCTCAGTGTGTATTGAAATCAGATCGGCGGCAAAAAACATTTTCATAAAAAGCAATTCATTATATCGCTTAGGTTATTAATGATAAACTTTCTTTGTGATAATTCCCAGTTGCCTTTCATTTATCGAGTAACGAAACTATGGTGTTGCGATTTCATAATGTCTCTGTATGCTTTGCTGCTTTTTTCATCCCTTTGGTTTCTGAGTGGAGCATAGGGTTTCAGGCTTTGAAATTTCAGTAGCATTGGTGTTTCTTATACGGGTTGGGGTTGTTAGCCTCATATTCAATCTTCCTCCATTGTGAGACTTATTATCGGCTAGCGAGGTCTATGAGTGAGTACTGCGAGAACCGAACGTGGACTACGTGTGAGTTTGATGAGCATCCTATCATTAAACCGCCAGCCTTATGGTGTCTTATTATTTGTACCACTTCTTAAGTTCAAAAAGTATTATCAACTGATCTACATTAGTCGTCTCCTTTTCAGAAACACTAATCTAAACAGTTGGCTTGTTAAATAGTTAATGATTCTAAGCGATGTGCGTCGGTGGCACAGTGGTTAGTACTCTCGCCGACCATGCACATGGTCCGGGGTTCGATCCCCTGCCGGCGCACACCCGATATCTATGGTCGGCCTGAAATTGGGCTACCGATATCCATGCTGAAAATTCCATACTTGTACTGAAAATACGGTGTGGAATCAAGCTGTAATCAAAATAATTAAAAAAAATAATAAATAAATAAATTGGGTTGAAATACGAATGGGGAAACTGTATAATGAGAGTATAGTGGTGTGGGTCACTAATAAGCAAAAGGTTTTAAACTGTCTTCAAGGTTATTCTCGAACAATAGTATAAATGACGTCCACGTGTTGTCTTTCTCGGGAAAATGGAAAACTGTTAACATTGACAAAAAGTTACAATTTTCAAGCAAAATCCAAACTTCACTTTGAAGCTAGGCACAACGGGCAGTTCATTTTAAATATAAAGAAGCATTATTTTGAAGAGCTTAAACCTACTGCACTATGCAAAGGTCATGAACTTCTCGAAAAATTTTGTTAATGAACGAGTTCATCAAGGCAACAGTTGTTCAGTATTCAGGTTCAATAATTACTTTCAAGATTTCGTCAAAAGTACTAGTGACTGCTTGTTGCCGATTTCAGTGACATACAAATGAACAAAATGGTGATAGAGCATATTATCGTAACTGAAAGACCTCTTATTAAATGAAGACTAAGTAAATATAATTTATGAAATAAAGTGTAAAAAATCTCCACAACTTTATATTGTTCAGTCTAAATGTCAAATAGCCTAAAGCATTTATGAACATCAATTTAAAGAATGTTTTATATCTTAAAAGCCTGAGATTTTGAACGAAAATGTAGTGGACAAATTGAAATAAAACCGATCTTTTCAGTGTTTTTTTGTTTTTTTCCTTCATGTTCCCCAGTGGAACATAGGGCTTCAAGCTAGTGGCTTGAAGTTTCTGTAGCGGTATTTATTTTACAGGATGTGGTTGCTAGCCTCATGCCCAACCTTTCCTCTTCACCAGCATTATATCTGACTTAGCAAGGTAAAGGAGTGCGTCGGTCGGGGATCGAACCCCGGACCTTGTACCTGGTCGGCGAGCGTCCTAACCGCTTTGCCACCGACGCACGATCTTCAGTGTACTTGGTAAAATATCAACTATTACAGAAAAACAGTACTCACCACCTGCTTATATGATTGAACAAAATGCAATGGACCAAGAGATTTATTATAATACCTTATTTCTATCGTATCTTGTTGTGTATAATCAGTTATCAGAGTTCAAGCGACATCAAACAACTTCCATTGTTATTCTGAAGTGAATACCCCCTCTATTATTATTATTATGTTATTGTATTCCTTTACGTCCCCAGTGGAACGCAGGGCTTCAAACTAGAGCTCTGAAGTTTCGGTAGTAGTGGTAATTATTTTTAAGGGGTGGGGTTGCTAGCCTCATGCCCAATATTCCCTCTTTACCAGTCTTATTACTGGCTTAGCAAGGTAAAGCAGTGCGTTGGCTGGGGATCAAACTCCTTCTATTACCTCATTGATGATAATGTTTCGTAGAGTCGTTGGTAAATTATTAAATAAATGATGTTCAAATCCATGTCTCGCAAGAATTGAACATTCTTGTCAAATCTATTCATACGTTTCTTGAATTATCTATCAGTTCTGCACATTTCGTCTGATTGCATGTTATTGGTTAGACAGTTTGGAATTTACAACTGTGTGCTGCTTCAAGTATTGCAACTGACAACCTTAACAAAATGAATTTTGTTTCATTTTAGATATACTCAAGGTTTCATTGGAATGGCTATAATGGGAAAAAGGCAATCAGTCGATTCACTGGATCGTTGTTTATCGCCATTGAAAAATTGTATTAGTATAGAATTTATGGTTCATCCAGGATTTAAAGTAAGCTGCACTGACAACGATGTAGGTGATAATACTTCAGGTTGTGGAAATCCTGAAGGTCCTGATTTATTTTCTCAATCAGACGATCGTGAGCATGAAATGAATTTTCTTTTAAGCGATGAGTTTCAAAAGTATATGCTACAGCATAATTATGACTTGGTAACATTTTCTAATCTGTCATAAGTGTCATATACTCCTACATCATCATGTCAGTAATCATGCTTAACAGTATTGACTCATATTCTGTTATATTAAAGTGTGTTTTACCCATTAGATTAACACAGATATGCACGATTAAATTTTGAAAAAAAACAGTTGTACTTAATTTATGCCTTTTTTTACATATTCTCTCTTATTTTTAAGGTAAATTATGAAATATTTACGATTATTCTAGAGGTTGCTGGTTCAACTTCTGCCATAATTTTAGATTTCCATTTCACCTTTATTCATGTATCATGCATCATACCAATAAAAAGCTGTTTGAAGTGTATTACTTGTTACTTTTTCAAGCTGTAGGCCAAAAACCTATTGGCAGGCTGTCAATTCTTGTGTGTTTTATTTATTTATCAAAGTAAAACTCAAATTTCATACAGCAGTCACAATATATTCTGTTACGACCAAAACCGATTGGTTGTTTTCTGAAAGAAGGAAACCGATCACTGTAGAACTGACATGACTTCTTTGAGGTATGCACAGTCATGAAAAGGCTTCAAAGACAGCAAAAAGGCGATTATTCTTGGTTAAATATATTGGTTAACCAAGATTAGACTATAAGAAGTAACTTAGAGTCAAGTAAAATATTACCAACAAGGTGGGATCAAAACTCTGTCCGCAAGAACCATACGCCAATGCTTCCCACGGACAGTTCAGCATCTTAATGGCCTTGATTCATTCAAACAAAATCACGTCGTAAAACAACATATTATCATACAACCATAAAGAGAAACAATAAAATTAGAGACTTAACAGTTACAAAGACAAACAATAAGAATGAAATCGACATATGCAAATGTCAGAACGATGATATACAGTCTAGGTGAAAAGTGGATAATAACTGCAAAGTTAGTTGAAACATCCAAGTAAGTATCCATATTATAGTTAGACTGTTTTTTAAACGATTTTCCTTTTACATACCTTGAATCATTCAGTCGTAAATCAATATGGGTTAATTATACTGGGATAAATATAAATTTTATGCCCAATTCACATTTTTTTTAAAAGCTCTATTATCCTCGAAGATAATTGTTTCAAAAGTAAACGCTTACATAATTACCTTTCAGGATTTTCATCGTGAGCTGACATTAGTTAGAGAACCATTGGGAAACCTTGGAGTACTGGACAGCCGTTTCGTCCTAGTTTAGGACTCTTCAAATATCCTACAAACAAACACTTGAATATCAATGAGATGCTCACTAGGGACTGGCCCTATTCAGGTAGGTAGTTACCTGGGGTTTTAGTGAGAAGTCGTGACCAGTAGGGTGCAGCAGGTCGGGTGCGAGGACAAATACTCGCTGGAGACATTGGCTAGGGGCCGCGCTATGTCATGAATTGGCAGAAGTTAGAATTCACGGGCCATTGGATCGGGTCCCAGTGGCTTAATGGTATACGACCTCGCCTTGTAACCAGAAGGTCCTGAGTTCGAACCCTGGTGGTCAGTGCGTACTTCTAAAGAGTCCCAAATAGCTGTCCAGTACCTCCAGGTTTTCCAATGGTTCTCTAACTAGTGTCAGTTCATGATGAAAATCCTGAAACGAATCAAATCCCTACAAACAAACACTTGAATAATTGATTTTATTAAAATAACAAAACATGAGGAGTCCATATTTCACTAGAATCCTTTTCAAAAACATTCCCTGAGATATTGATTATCTCCGATTTTCAATTCTTTCGTGTTTTGTCTTTATTTGTGTGTAGGCAGTGAAAGTGAATATTACAAAGCATCTGATTACACTTCATGGGTTTAAAGGATTTCACATGGTTTGTTTTGTTGGATTCGATTCTGTCTAGAAAGAGAAAATAGTAGACGAATTACTAGTTTCAAAGTGAAACGAGTTAATGCTCTAGTAGTACTACGATGGAAGCTGTTTTTGTTGATGTATGCTTTTAAACAGAAGGAATCATTTATGTAAAAATTATAGTAATAATAATAACAAATGTCTACTTTTCACTCGGCACCCAAATATTGTGGAAATATTCGGTCAAATCTTGATCACATTTCATATGATTGGTAAAAGACTGAAGTTTAAATGGATTCAACTTAAGTTAATGTAAAACGATTGATTTAACCAAAACAAGTACAACATGGAACCGGATAGCATCCATTGAGTTGTTACACCATATCTCTTTTAGATAAATCTCGGTTTTTACTTAGGATTACTACTGCCAACAAATCGTTACGCTTCATCTTTTAGTGAGAATTAAATTATTAGTCAACCTTTTTCAGTAAGCAGTTCACTTTGAAATGTGATTCTTTCTATTATTAACCTCCAGAGAATAGTTGGTTTTCTCCAGGTTTTTTCTGTTGAGTGAGTATATTTCGCAAATATTATATTATAGCATCTTTTTTGTTTCTCTAAGATTCACACCCAATAAGTGCTAACTCCACTTTACAGATTTTATCAGTCTATGCTTGATGGTGTTGAATATCTTTTCTAATTCGGTGATAATTATTAGTTTGTTTTATTTCATTCAATCTACCGCTTTACTATACGTTTTATGGATTTTGCTGAAACAGTTAACACTGCGCTTTGATAGTTTTAATCTTTTGATGCAGTCATCGATGACAGTCCATCTGTAAGCCAGAGCAGTAATTCACTGAGGTTCGTTTTTACTTTTATTAAACAAGTTATTAATATTATTTTCTTGGGTTTCGAGTAGAACATCGGGCTTCACCAGCATATCTGGATAAAGTCCTTTTTGGCTGACTCCATGGTTGCCCACAAGCGTCTATCACTTCACACACAAACTCTCCCATGTCATTCTGGATGCCCATCTCATCGTTTCCCACTCGAGTTCCACTCGAGGATTTCTCTGGTCTCCTCAGCGTGTGTCCAATTCTTACACATCTCAATTGGACACTAGTAACTAGTGTGACGTGTCTAGTCCTTTCTTTGGTGCAGACTGAATTCTATTAGTCAGGTTTGCAATGTGGCCAATATTCTAGGTAGCTCACCATCTCGGTACCAACTAGCACAAAACCTAGGTCCAAGGCTTCTTCCAAATATCTAATATCATATTATACATTTCCTTCCGCAAATGCTTTGGGTGATGGATCCTTCTTTTGTTTTATTGCCAGAGCTCCCTGATGTTTGTTGTTGTTGGTTAAGTGTCTTCATTACCTCTGTTTCCTCCATGTTTACCTGAATTCATGTTTTCTTTGCCTGCTTATCTTCCGTGAAGTCCATATCTTTCAGAGTCTTCCTGTCGGTCCAGTGTATGCCTACCTCACTCTCCACGGTCTGTTACGTGATCTATTCCACCATAATCGGAAATATTATCGGTGGTAGTAGACAGCCATAATTTACTTTTGTCTTTACTTCAATCACTTCGCAGAGCTTTCCACTGTGAATCACTTCGTTTATGGGATCATTATATTGCTGTCGAACCGGGTCTATATAAGTCAAGGGCACTCCATAGTATTGAAGCATTTTCCAAATTACTTAACGACTAACGCTAGTGTGGACCTTTTCAAAGTTGATGAAGTTGAGCTAGCGACTTTACTGTCATTCTATGCTATTTTCAGTGATGATGCATAATGTTGCAATCTGATCCACGCGTGATTTGCTTTCCTTACATTCTTTTTGTTCCGCGGGCAGAGTTTTCCATCTACGGAATCTTTTAGTCTCTCCAGAATGACGTGACTTAATATTTTGCTTGGTGGGGACTGCAGAATAATTTCGCATTAGTTCTTACAAATCTTTAAATTATCCTTCTTAGGTAACCTCTCTGGATAACCCCCTTCCAATAGGTAGGTAACTTTCTTCCTTTCCGAACCTCCTGGAGTAAGCGTATCCGCTGAGGTCAAACAAGTTGCACCAGTTATTTTTTATGTTGTGAAACAGACTTTTATTTCATCAGTGGAAATGATTTATTTTAGCAGATACTTTTGTTTTTCGTATGATTACAGTTTATCAGTGTCATTTTTTTCGTGCCTATTTCTAGATGAAGGCTGTTACTATTTTTCAACAATACGTCGATGAATTGTGACTTGAAGATATCAATTTAGACCAACGAATAGATGTCAGAATGACATTTTTTGTTAAGTTATGAATTATGGTGAATTGGGTTTTTCTAACATCCAGCTGCACGAAGAAAGAGTGAAATATGCGAATTTAGGACACTTATATCTTTTGTTTTACCACTTTTTGAGTATGACAATTGCGTGAAGAAGTTTGCATACGTCGCTCGCCTTTACTTATGTGAATTTAAGGAAAATTATCACGGTTGAGAAGAAAGCAGAAATGCAGAAGTGTGACTGACTCTCAGTAGTATTCATATTATTCTATATTTTTAATTTTTTAAAAAGCCAATCCTGACTTCATAACTGGGTACTGGAGAACATGTTACTTGAAAACAGTTCGAAATTGAATATCTTCATAAGCGAATCCGTCAAATTAAAATTTTGCTTATATCATAATCTGAAAATGTCTTACCTAATATTCAAAACTGATTTATTGACACCTATCAAGAGAATTCAAGATGCATGTTACGTTCTTTTGTTTAAGACTCCTCAACTAGGCATAGATGCTTAACATTGAATTTTAGTGTTCCTGTTACTACTGAAACTTAGTGTTTAAAGTTGCAAACTTTAAAGTCATTATAGGCGCTTCTGAAGCAACATGTATTAACTGAAGATTCTTTTTATTTGAGCAATAAAGTATACTAATATCTCAGTTTCACAAATGATAATCCCTTCGCCACATACTGAAGATCAGATAGCAAGGAACCTTGGTGACGGAAAAACCAAGAGACTGGTGCCTAACAAATATGTCGAAGAAGATGGAGGCGGATCGGATACACTCTGAGTAAAGTGTTGAATAACATCGTGCGATTGGCCATAGCTCGAGTGGAACCCGAATCGGGAGACGGTAAGTTGGGCTCCCGAGTGTGAAATGATTGAGATCCTGTGTGGCGAGATGATGAAAGTTTATGGACAATCATGGAGTCAGCTGAAGAGGATTGCAAAGAACAGGACAAGGTGGAGATGTGCTGTTGAAGCCCTGTTGCACTCAGAACCTAAGGGAATAATAATAATAAAGGATAATGCTAGTTTTCTATACTCTTTCAAAATATCTGTAGGATTTCTAATCG